CTAGAAACTCCAGTGATCGACATCATACGCATCGATCTACCAACTCGGATACCATGAATTGCATCAATCGAGTACGTGAGTTTGACCACCTGATCCCGTCAGTGTCCTCTGATGACAAGCAAGGGTGCCTGAAGACCACTTCTAACGGGGACAGTTCCAATTGCTGGTTATGGTATCTTGTAGTGCAACCAAAGTTAAAGAATAAATTAAAATTCAAACCAATGAAATACTAGTATATTTTATTGATGTATATGTGAATTATGGTTCTACATATTATAGAAAAACGAAACTGTGATCATCAATGCAACAGAAAGTGTATTTAATCGTCAAGTTGTAAATATCGCGTTTTGCCGCTTACATTTCCTTGAGATCTATATGGGAACTAAACGTCTTGCAAAACATGGTACACAGATATATACTAACATAACAATGTCCGATATGATATTGTAACGTAAAAATGGTACAACCAAAAAATGAAAAACATGATCAGTCGATATTGACACGGTTGAAGGCACCAACCTACACAACGAGATGCGTGGAAGTCGACTTCATCGATAGACGTAGCTACCGTGTCCTATACAACGAAATGCGTGTATGTCGACTTAATTGAAAGACGTTGCAACTATGTCGTACACAATGAGATGCGTGGAAGTCGACTTCATTGAAAGGCGCAGCAACTATGTCCTATACAACGAGATGCGTGAAAGTCAACTTCATTGAAAGACGTAGCAACTATGTCCTACACAATGAGATGCGTGAAAGTCGACTTCATTGAAAGACGTAGCAACTATGTCCTACACAATGAGATGCGTGTATGTCGACTTAATTGAAAAACGTAGCAACTATGTCCTACACAATGGTATGCGTGAAAGTCGACTTCACTGAAGGACGTAGCAACGATGTCCTATACGGGATGCTTGTGTGGCGACTTAATTGAAAGACGTAGGAAATATGTCCTACACAATGGGATGCGTGAAAATCCACTTCCCTGAAAGACGTAGGAAATATGTCCTACACAATGAGATGCGTGAAAGTTGACTTCATTGAAAGACGTTGCAACTTCGTCCTACACAATGGGATGCGTGAAAATCCACTTCCCTGAAAGACGTAGGAAATATGTCCTACACAATGAGATGCATGAAAGTCGACTTCATTGAAAGACGTTGCAACTTCGTCCTACACAATGGGATGCGTGAAAATCCACTTCCCTGAAAGACGTAGCAACTATGTCCTACACAATGAGATGCGTGAAAGTCGACTTCATTGAAAGACGTTGCAACTATGTCCTACACAATGAGATGCGTGTATGTCGACTTAATTGAAAGGCGTAGCAACTATGTCCTACACAATGGGATGCGTGAAAGTCGACTTCATTGAAGGACGTAGCAACGATGTCCTATACGAGATGCTTATGTGGCGACTTAACTGAAAGACGTAGCAAATATGTCCTACACAATGAGATGCGTGTATGTCGACTTCACTGAAGGACGTAGCAACGATGTCCTATACGGGATGCTTGTGTGGCGACTTCATTGAAAGACGTAGGAAATATGTCCTACACAATGAGATGCGTCAAAGTCGACTTCATTGAAAGATGTAACAACTTCGTCCTACACAATGGGATGCGTGAAAGTCGACTTCACTGAAAGACGCAGCAACTATGTCCTACACAATGAGATGCGTGAAAGTCGACTTCATTGAAAGACGTTGCAACTTCGTCCTACACAATGGGATGCGTGAAAATCCACTTCCCTGAAAGACGTAGCAACTATGTCCTACACAATGAGATGCGTGAAAGTTGACTTCTTGAAAGACGTTGCAACTATGTCGTACACAATGAGATGCGTGTATGTCGACTTAATTGAAAGACGTAGCAACTATGTCCTACACAATGAGATGCGTGGAAGTTCACTTCATTGAAAGACGTAGCAACTATGTCCTACACAATGGTATGCGTGAAAGTCGACTTGACTGAAAGACGTAGCAACGATGTCCTACACAATGAGATGCGTGGAAGTCGACTTCATTGAAAGGCGTAGCAACGATGTCCTACACAATGGGATGCGGGAAAGTCGACTTCACTGAAGGACGTAGCAAGGATGTCCTATACGGGATGCTTGTGTGGCGACTTAATTGAAAGACGTAGCAAATATGTCCTACACAATGAGATGCGTGAAAGTCGACTTCACTGAAAGACGTAGCAACTATGTCCGACACAGTGAGATGGGTGAAAGTCGACTTCATTGAAAGGCGTTGCAACTATGTCGATGCAGCATGGTGGCGACCAGAACTGCATGCGTAGTCACATCCTACCAGCGGTGCTCCTGCATACAAATGACCTGCTTAACCTTCAGGTATTTCGCGATGTATATACGTATAGCCTTGGTCTGCGTGGCTTAAAGTGGTTATTCTAGTTAACTGGAAATGCTGAATATTTGTACCTCGACGTAACAAAATCTGCACAATGAATGACAACTTTTAGAATTCCTTTTGGGGAAATCGTTTCGAAGACTGAACAAGTTTAATCTGTAGAGCCAGCGCTCAACATTAATTGTGAACACTTTAGTTTGTGTTGCCATGACCATTATGGGCCTTCTTATTATTTGCCTATCTTGTATCGAAAAGTAAATTTTAAAATGCATAAAATAATGTTTATGATCAAACCCCCTTCAAACTATGTATGGAGCATTGCTTGTACACGTGTTTGGATATTTCTTTGGAGATTGAGTGTGTTGTGTCTTGTTTAAATGTTTATGTCATATAAAAATAGAAATCAAACATATTATGAAAACAAAACTGGTAATATGTTTTCATATGTGACTTCCTGAAACATTTGTTATATTAAGGTGTTTTAAGTTGACATGATTCTGACGACATTGATATTATCTACAGTTGTAGAGTTATTAATATTATTTTCAGACTTAATCTTTTAAAAGTAATAACTACTTTGTAAGATTTTATAATGAACGAGATCAAGGGAGAAATGCAGACATTGTTAGAATTGTACCCTCAACTTAGTGAGTGCGTATTATGTTTTTAACCATGAAGCATACTACTTTATGAGAGCGGGCACGGGTGGCGTCCAAGGCACCGCAATTCGCTGTGCAGAGTTGCGTCCCTTGGGCATGCCAGGAACCTCTGATTGTGGGTCCGAATCCGGGTTCGCCAAGATTATGGTTCTAGGTTTGTCAGCACCATACCCGTGCTCGTGGGTTTCACCGAAGTAGTAAACGTCTGAGACCTGCATCACTTCGCGCTTTCCTCCCACTTTAAGCTGATACGCCACGATATAACTGGAATACTGTTAAAAGCGACGTTAAACCCAACTCACACATTCACTCACCCACTCTCTATGAGAGTTACCTCCCTAAAACTAATATGTTTACTACTGTATTCTGACGCGTCAAAATTAATATTCACGCTGTCGAATGTACTGATACCTCGCTACCGGGAACTCGGTCAACGTGTCACCGCAGCGAAATGCTGGATGAGGAAATTAAATGGGTCGGATACAGATTAACTGCTAGTCTGCCCTTCGCCTCCCAGCGGCTGCAAACGAGGAGCCCTCTAGGTAAGTGCCTGTCTCACTCTCATCATCGAATAATATATTCGTGTGCAATTAATAATTTACATTTAGGAATGTTTAAAAAATATTTTCATGACTATTTCTGTATTTCTTTGTGTATGCATGTCATGATAAAGCTTCTTTGAAAAAAAAGTTTGTGAACATCTTTCCAACTATTACTCACCCCCTGAAATTTTCTCAAACCAAAAGCAATTAAAGCGAAATTACTCTGAATTATTATGAATGTTGTTACAAATCAGTGTTATAAAAGATTTCGGTAGTTTTTAGTTAAACACATCTTTATTTTCAAGCGCCTTAGCAGTAAACACATCCGCAATGTGGGTAAGCCCATGGTGAATTAACTCTTCATAGGTGGTACTCGGTTATTGATTGGGATAATAATTTGCAATATTTTTAATCAATTTAATATGAAAAGCTTTCGGTCCTTTGGATGTCCTTAAGCCCCCTAAACACGTAAGTCAGCTCGTATTGTTTGGGTGTAAATCAGAAACTAAGTAATTGAGTGAGTGAGTTGGGTTTAACGCTGCTTTTAACATTATTATGAGTTATATCACGGCGTGTCAGCTTAATGTGGGAGGGAAGCCCGAAGTGATGCAGGTCTAAGACGTTTACCACTTCGGTGAAACCCACGAGCACGGGTATGGTGCTGACAATCCTAGAAACATAATTTGGGCGAACCAGGATTCGAACCCACAATCATAGGTTTCTGGCGTGCCCAAGGGCCGCAACTCTGCACAGTATTCTATGTGGTACATGTACATCGGGAAACTGTACACATTAATCCAGGCATGTTGCTGCCACGGAACTATCACTTCAACATTATCAGATAGTTCATGTCATGGGCCGACACCACGCAGGAATTGTATTTGAACCACAGTGGGTAACAGCTTTTCATACATGTTATTTAATGTCGCAATAACATTTTTACATAGATAATTGAACTAGTTTCCTTGGAATATAGACATTTTTACATTGAAGTATATACATCATTTTATGGATAGTGGGAAATTGTGTAATGTTGAGATGTAAGTGTAATTTCCGATGACTAAAGCTGTCAAATAATACTCTTACAGAAGTAGAGCGCAATCGGAAATAACTTTGATTGTATTACATATCTGTGGTCATGATGAACAAATTGGGAACACATACCACCGGAAATGAAGTATAACAGTAGATGACATGATCATCAAGGAACGTAACGGTCGATTAGGGTAAGATGGGAAATTTCAATGTTCTGAATCAGCTGTGCGTAATACCGCTACGATTTGCCAAACATTCTTTCCCCGACAAGTCTCCCAATGGCGATTTGAGGGAGTCTTCACAACCCTTCTTGCAGCGTCTGGCCAAGTTCAGCCAACGCGGTCGTAGGCCTATGAGGATGACACACACGTCTCCCAACATGTCCCAGATGTGTTCAATTACGGGAAGGTCTGGGCTCATTGCTGGCCATGGCATTCTGTGGCTGTTGTGCTAGCCATGGTATTCTGTGGATGCTGTGCTGGCCATGGCATTCTGTGGCTGTTGTGCTAGCCATGGCATTCTGTGGATGCTGTGCTGGCCATGGCATTCTGTGGCTGTTGTGCTGGCCATGGTATTCTGTGGAAGCTGTGCTGACCATGGCATTATGTGGATGCTGTGCTGGCCATGGCATTCTGTGGATGTTGTGCTGGCCATGGCATTCTGTGGCTGTTGTGCTGGTCATGGCATTCTGTGGAAGCTGTGCTGGCCTTGGCATTCTGTGGATGTTGTGCTGGCCATGGCATGCTGTGGATGTTGTGCTGGCCATGGCATTCTGTGGATGTTGTGCTGGCCATGGCATTCTGTGGATGTTGTCCTGGCCATGACATTCTGTTGATGCTGTGCTGACCATGGCATTCTGTTGATGTTGTGCTGGCCATGACATTCTGTGGATGCTGTGCTGACCATGGCATTCTGTTGATGTTGTCCTGGCCATGGCATGCTGTGGATGTTGTGCTGGCCATGGCATTCTGTGGATGTGGAGATGAGTATAGACGATTCGTGCACGTTGATCACGGGCGTTGTCATCATGAAAGACAAAACCTCGACCCATACGCCTTGCAACGGGACAACAAAGGGTGTCATTACGTTGCCCCGATAGTACTGACCAGTGACCCTTCCTTGCACACAATGTGGGGTTCGCTCCATTATAGTGATGCCACCCCACACCATAACCGATCCACCACCAAATCTGTCATGAGGTCTGACATTGATATAGGCTTGACGTTCATGTCCACGTCGCGGGACATGAGCACGGCTATCAAAATAGTACAAAGTGAATCAGAAATCATCTGAAAACGTGACACGTTCCCAGCGACAAATACCCCAATATGACGATTTGTGAGGGGCGCCACATCACATGGCCGTCGAGCATGGGGATGAGCTGCATGTAGACGATTTCTAATCGCCTGACCAGCAGCCTGGGCCTGTACTCCAGTAGTCCAGAAGGTTTGCAGCAATTTGATTCGCATTTTGCGGTCGATTTCGGATAAATCCATCCTGTACTCTTGTCGTTGGCACGCACTGAACGAGGTTTTGGGTTTGTTGGTACCTGTTCCTTAGTCTGCTAAATACAGCATTAAAAGTATTGAACACTGCACGCTGACTTCTGTCAGTTTTCAATAGCCCGTAGGTTTTCAGACGGCGCATCGGGATTCTAACCAATAAGCATACGTTTCCGGCGAACGTATGGGACGTAACTGTGCACAGCCCATACCCCCTATTGCATAGTAAGTTTGTCGTCAACACTTATCTTTGTTTTGATATTTCGTTGAAGAGTATAAATATGGAATAATATTCATCGCCACATATGTGTGTGTGTGTGTGTGTGTGTGTGTGTGTGTGTGTGTGTGTGTATGTACATGTGTGTGTGTGTGTGGCTGCTTGTACTAGTCCGGACTGATGCCGATTTTTAGTGCTAGCTCACATAAATACCACACCCAGACACAGTATACTGACTCCGAGCCGACCAGTCCTTGTTTAAGCCCCTTAATGCCGAGCGCCGGACAGTGTACAATCTTTTAACGTCTTTTGGTATGACGGGGCAGGGGACCGAACCAAGGACATTCCGCTCTCCGGGCGGACGCTCTACCACTAGACTACGGAGGCGGTAAGAGACCCTAACATGTAAGAGACTATGATACAACTTGGGAGGCAGAAGTACAAGATCTGTTTCTCTATTTCGAACATTTCATTATACTTTATTTTTTCAAACAAAACAACTTTAATTGTTGATAATTCCATAAAGAATGCCTTTGCCGTACAAGCCTATCAGCTGGAGAATTTGTGACTTGATAAAAATGTTTATCTATTTCCAGTTTGAGAAAAAATATTATTAATGTGCATAATCCATTAATATTGAAAGCAATTAGTTATCTAACAACATTGATATATTAAAAAGGACAACTTGATGCATTTGCTTTGAATTAATCTAGCCAAAAAACACGTCTCTTGACCGAATAACTACAGATAAAGGCCTGGACATAGAAGGGTCATTTATGAAGTAATTTGTTTTTGCAGCAACTGACATTATATCAATATACAGCTGTAGATGTCACAATGTAAAGATAAGCACCTTTATCGTAACACATCTCAAGTGAATGGGCTAATAAATAATAAACCTAATACGTCTTGTTATGGCTCAGTCACCATGCCTGAGTGCCATAAAACGTGCGACAAAAGGTAATAAACCAAGTATGAGTGCGATACAAGAGTAGCAAGAGGCTCCACCAACCTACGTTTGACACAGAGATGTCCGTAAATAATGTCTATGGGATGCATAACAAATCTTACTATTGGCATGACAGATGGACTTGACATCCTCATTCGTCACCACTCGCCCCTTTCAGTAACCTGCAAGAAGACTCGTCCCCCTATCGATGAATGTTATGTGCGAAAATACGACAAACCAATCAGAATGCGCGTATGATTTCAAGTACTTCGTCAAAGAATCCCTCAGAAATAATTTTTGATTTTTCATATGTCTTGCATCTAAAATTATACCCAAGACGCAGTTAAATGTGTTCAATCATACTGTATAATTCCGCACGTCCCGATGTGCTTTAAATTGCATCTGAAATATATATAATATATGGGGAAATATATGTGAACCATTACGCAAAGACGGAACCCGGTCGCAAAAATGGCCACGTGAGGGGCACGAGTCGCTATTCGGCTTGTCCTCGAATAACACGAGTTGGTCACGAATGATGACATCCTATACGTCTGAAAACCCTGGTCCTAAGTACATTCTGTTTGTTATGTATGTATGTGTTCAGTAAAATGGCATGGGTAAAACCGATGAAACTTTAACAGCTTTGGCATGTGCAGAATGGGTTTAAAACGTATGTTATTATGAGGCAGCCAGTCCGCTCCCGATACGCGCTAACGTTCAAAGAGATAAAGGTAGTGACCTCAATAACAAATTGTTCAAACCCTTCGCCATTTAGGAATTGCATTCTTATTATGAGGGAGAGTCACGAGAGCGACCTTCGCTTCGCTTTTGTCCAAAAAGGGACATTTAGGTATTTCTGGTGAGTCTGGCAGTCGTTTTGATCGATGTTTTCTTACGAGGAGCAATAGCCAGGCATGACATGCGTCTAAAATAACTGAAGCACGATTAATTAGATGTTCGTTTCAAAAAGGATATTAAATAAAATACGATAAGATTTTATTTGTTTTAAATTTAACAATCATGTAACTTGCAGATCATGAGGCACATAACACAGTGTTCATTCTAACTGGATGACAGAGCTCGTGTCTGCTGGCACATATGAAGTGTGTCTTTCATGTGCTGTCAAAATAGTCTCAACATCACAGTACTATTGCAGGTTCCGTTCGGTGCCACACCCAATAATCTTGTCGTTGTTGCAGGAATGGGACACCATTGTCCGTTGTCTTAAACTGTTCCTGTCCGTCTTTCATGTAAAGAGAAGGCAGCGGTGTAATCACAGTCCAAACTAGGTCCTTTATCATCTGGTGGTTTAAACATATTTTATATTCACATGGGTACAATGCGTGAAGCCGATTTCAGATGGTGATGGTGATATTGCTGGAATATAATAAGACAGGTCCTATGGATAAACATTGCTATAAGCTGCGTAAAACCATAGTTACTCCTTCGACTGGGAATTGGGATTGGTAAGCACGACAACCCTTATTTGAATACCTTTCCTTACATAATCATCAAGTAACAAGCGATAGTCATGTGTATATAACCGCACAACACTTTCCTTGGTGGACAGTTATCAAGTACAAGGGTGTCAGAATAGCGGGTCTTTTTTTTATACATGATAATACATCATGTGCGCAAGATACGTTTATATTATATGTGAGTGTTTAGAGTATTGATTAAGTTTTAATCTACCAGAATTTGTAACAGATGAGATAATTTCTTGATTTAACCAGATGATAGCCTTTTACCTCCGTTTTAACGGAATTCTGTATGAACATCATGTCATTTTGTGTAATAAACGAGGGCGTTCAATACGTTTTGCAAATTCAATATAAGACCAAGGGGCAGCAAATCTTTGGCACTTTTATTTTTCAATATAATCTCCAATCACCTCAATACACTTATTATTGAATTTGTTCCTCTTCATAAGATTTACGCCTGTGTATACATTCTGGCCCAAATCAGGTCGATCGATCTATTTGTTCCACATTTCAAACCAGTATGTCATACACAACAATTGAAATTTCACTTGAGACATGTGTTAACATACATGTGTACAGGCATATGAAAAGTAGTGTCCAGTGTTGTATGACATGAGTGAGGTATGTTTTTTACGCCGCTTTAGGCAATATTCAAGCAATATCACGGCGGGGGACACCAGAAATTGGTTTCACACATAGTACCCATGTCAGGAATCGAACCCGTGTCTGGGCGTGACGAGCGAACGCTTAAACTGCTAAGCTACCCTACCGCCCCTTGTGTGACATGAAACCCTCAAAGCACAACATTCTGTCTCCATGATAGGAAGGGAAATCTACTTGCTGCAAGTGAATGGAAAAATAAGCATCCTATACTAACTTTTATACAGGAAAGCCAGGGTACGAAAATGAGTACTCACAGTACGATATATGGTGTGTGATCATGTTTTGTATGTGACGATGTATGGTGTGATGATGTTTTGTATGAGACGATGTATGGTGTGATGATGTTTTGTATGTGATGATGTATGGTGTGTAATGATGTTTTGTATCAGACAATGTATGGTGTGTGATGATGTTTTGTATGTGACGATGTATGGTGTGTGATGATGTTTTGTATGAGACGATGTATGGTGTGATGATGTTCTGTATGTGACGATGTATGGTGTGATTATGTTTTGTATGTGACGATGTATGGTGTGGTGATGTTTTTGATGTAACGATGTATGGTGTGGTGATGTTTTGGATGTGACGATGAATGGTGTGATGATGTTTTGTATGTGACGATGTATGGTGTGATGATGCTTTAGATGTGACGATGTATGGTGTGATTATGTTTTGTATGTGACGAGGTATGGTGTGATGATGTTTTGTCCGTGACGATGTATGGTGTGATGATGCTTTAGATGTGACGATGTATGGTGTGATTATGTTTTGTATGTGACGAGGTATGGTGTGATGATGTTTTGTCCGTGACGATGTATGGTGTGATGATGTTTTGTATGTGACGATGTACGGTGTGATGATGTTCTGTATGTGACGATGTATGGTGTGATGATGTTTTGTCCGTGACGATGTATGGTGTGATGATGTTTTGTATGTGACGATGTACGGTGTGATGATGTTCTGTATGTGACGATGTATGGTGTGATGATGTTTTGTATGTGACGATGTACGGTGTGATGATGTTTTGTCCGTGACGATGTATGGTGTGATGATGTTTTGTATGTGACGATGTACGGTGTGATGATGTTCTGTATGTGACGATGTATGGTGTGTGATGATGTTTTGTATGTGACGATGTATAGTGTGATGATGTTTTGTATGTGACGATGTATGGTGTGATGATGTTTTGTATGTGACGATGTACGGTGTGATGATGTTCTGTATGTGACGATGTATGGTGTGATGATGTTTTGTATGTGACGATGTACGGTGTGATGATGTTTTGTCCGTGACGATGTATGGTGTGATGATGTTTTGTATGTGACGATGTACGGTGTGATGATGTTCTGTATGTGACGATGTATGGTGTGTGATGATGTTTTGTATGTGACGATGTATAGTGTGATGATGTTTTGTATGTGACGATGTATAGTGTGATGATGTTCTGTATGTGACGATGTATGGTGCGATGATGTATCGTATGTGACGATGTATGGTGTGATGATGTTTTGTATGTGACGATGTATGGTGTGATGATGTTTTGGATGTGACGATGTATGGTGTGATGATGTTTTGGATGTGACGATGAATAGTGTGATGATGTTTTGTATGTGACGATGTATGGTGTGTGATGATGTTCTGTATGTTGCGATGAATGGTGTGAAAATGTTTTGTAGGTGACGATGTATGGTGTGTGATGATGTTTTGTATGAGACGATGTATGGTGTGAAAATGTTTTGTATGTGACGATGTACGGTGAGATGATGTTTTGTATGTGACGATGTATGGTGTGTGATGATGTTCTGTATGTGACGATGAATGGTGTGAAAATGTTTTGTATGTGACGATGTATGGTGTGTGATGATGTTCTGTATGTGACGATGAATAGTGTGATGATGTTTTGGATGTGAGGATGTATGGTGTGTGATGATGTTCTGTATGTGACGATGTACGGTGAGATGATGTTTTGTCTGTGACGATGTATGGTGTGTGATGATGTTCTGTATGTGACGATGAATGGTGTGAAAATGTTTTGTATGTGACGATGTATGGTGTGTGATGATGTTTTGTATGAGACGATGTATGGTGTGATGATGTTCTGTGTGTGACGATGTATGGTGTGATGATGTTTTGTCCGTGACGATGTATGGTGTGATGATGTTTTGTATGTGACGATGTATGGTGTGATGATGTTTTGTATTTGACGATGTATGGTGCGATGATGTTTTGTATGTGACGATGTATGGTGTGATAATGTTTTGTCTGTGTTGTAGGTAAAAGGATATGATGGTTGTACGTGTGGTTATATGTTGTATGGCATGGTGTGTTTGTTTTGTAAGTCATGGTGTGTTTGTTTTGTAAGTCATGGTGTGTTTGTTTTGTACGTCATGGTGTGTTTCTTTTGTAAGTCATGGTGTGTTTGTGATGTTGTTTCGTGTGCGATCGTCTGTTGTGTGTAATGATGTGTTTCATGTGACAGTGTGTGATAGCTGGCTGTATGTGATCACATTCTGTGAAGTTATATTGTGTGACGGTGTTGTGTGTGATAGCTTGTTGTATGTGATCATATTGTGTGTGGTTATATTGTGTGACGGTGCTGTATGTGATCACATTGTGTGTAGTTATATTGTGTGATGGTGTTGTGTGTGATAGCTTGTTGTATGTGATCATATTGTGTGTGGTTATATTGTGTGACGGTGCTGTATGTGATCACGTTGTGTGTAGTTATATTGTGTGATGGTGTTGTGTGTGATAGCTTGTTGTATGTGATCATATTGTCTGTGGTTATATTATGTGACGGTGCTGTATGTGATCACACTGTGTGTAGTTATATTGTGTGATGGTGTTGTGTGTGATAGCTTGTTGTATGTGATCATATTGTCTGTGGTTATATTGTGTGACGGTGCTGTATGTGATCACATTGTGTGTAGTTATATTGTGTGATGGTGTTGTGTGTGATAGCTTGTTGTATGTGATCATATTGTCTGTGGTTATATTGTGTGACGGTGCTGTATGTGATCACATTGTGTGTAGTTATATTGTGTGATGGTGTTGTGTGTGATAGCTTGTTGTATGTGATCATATTGTGTGTGGTTATATTGTGTGACGGTGCTGTGTGTGATCACATTGTGTGTAGTTATATTGAGTGATGGCGTTGTGTGTGATAGCTTGTTGTATGTGATCATATTGTCTGTGGTTATATTGTGTGACGGTGCTGTGTGTGATCACATTGTGTGTAGTTATATTGTGTGATGTTGTTGTGTGTGATAGCTTGTTGTATGTGATCATATTGTCTGTGGTTATATTGTGTGAAGGTGCTGTATGGGATCACATTGTGTGTAGTTATATTGTGTGATGGTGTTGTGTGTGATAGCTTGTTGTATGTGATCATATTGTCTGTGGTTATATTGTGTGACGGTGCTGTGTGTGATCACATTGTGTGTAGTTATATTGTGTGATTGTGTTGTGTGTGATAGCTTGTTGTATGTGATCATATTGTCTGTTGTTATATTGTGTGACGGTGCTGTGTGTGGCAATGTAGTTTGTGATGATGTTTTGAGGCGTGGGGAGATTATTATGAGCTTTGAGTATACAGTTATTGCTCCTAAAATGATTGAGACCGCCTCCGTGGCTCAGTGGTAGAGCGTCTACCCGGAGAGCGGAAGGTCCGGAGTTCGATCCCCGGCCGCGTCATACCAAAAGACGTTAAAAGATGGTACTTGTTGTTACCCTGTCTGGCGCTCGGCATTAAGGGGTTAAAACAAGGATTGGTCGGCTCGGAGTCAGTATACTGTGTCTGAGTGGGGTATTCATGTTAAACTGCGGCATGGTATCTCAGTGAGCTAGCACTATTAATCGGCATCAGTCCGGTCGAGTACAAGCAGCCACACACACGTGCATGCACGTCGCTATATAAGTGCAATAAACTTGGACGCGACGTTAAACCCCATTTCACCTCACCTCACCTAAAATGATTGTGGTCTAGTCGCAGGGTTAGACCATTTCATATTCAGATGTATGTGGGATTATTTCACCAAAAAATGTCTTGAAACACTATCCTGTCCCAGTCACCTCAGCCCCTGCCCCAGTATGTCAACTGGGTGTCCCTTAGAACAGAATCAACACTCTGAACACATAGTGTAGCGAACTTTGTGCCTCGTATCATTTGGAGCTGCATATATCATCAATACAGGGCATTCCGCGCACGTAGTCAGTAGCTATCAGAAGCGTGGCTCTACTCTAACAAAAAGGATCCACTTTAAAAGTACAGCTGAAGGTAAGCTGACCTGATTCTGTCACTGCTTTGTTCAACTTTCTTTTGTATCTACCATCAAATATAATGATTTGTATATGTTCCCAATATCTCCGCATGTCTTTATGAGAAATGACATCGATATTGTGATTGTGCATGTACAGTAAAACTCCATCAATCAGAACTGTATCTGTCACGGTGAAATCCTATGACTAACATAACATTGTAACGAAGTGTCTCTTGTGTATATGTACTTGTCCTGAAATTAAGCGACAAAAGCCTTTCCGTATCCAATAGAAATCTCCGCATGAAGCGGGGTTTGTGATGGGTTGCAGTGGAAGAGCTTAAGACTTACCCTTCACCTGATGTAATCACTGAGTTTCAGTGAGCCATCATATAATCTTCATCCCCATTTTACCTTTTACGCCCTTTAGAAACTGTTTCCGCAGGTACTTGAGGCTGAGGATTGTCTGGGCATATTTACAGATACATGCCAGGTTATTGTATTGTGACTTATTTCTGAAAACACTATTATTTATTTTAAGCATCTGGAGTTAAAAACAGACATCTTTATAATGATGTTTTGATAATGACGTTCATTTTATATTTGAAAAGATAATTTGCATTTGTATTGTGGTATCCTTGAAGTCTATTTTTAGTTCACAATTCTCATTTCAGTTACATACATTGTATATATATCCACAAATGTACATCGCACTGACTTCAATATATTCATGTATTCATGTAGGATTTTTGTCACGAATTCCATGTCCTAGTGATATTGTGAAACACTATTCATTTACGCCCAAGTCAGCAATCATCAGTGAATAGTTTATTGTAACTGATGGGGAGACTGGGCGGGCAAGGGTGGGGAGCGGCTCAAACTCCTAACACACTCCCAAAGTTATAATATACTTATGGGAAAAAGTGGAATGGAAATGACAACCGCCATGACTTGGATGCAAAACAGCAAAATAACATCAATCATATGACATAAAGAGTGGTGCGGTGGGGTAGCCCAGTGGTTAAAGCGTTCGCTCGTCACGTCGAAGACCCGGGTTCAATTCCCCTGTCAAAGTGCTTGACTTTAATAACATGCTGCTGCATCTTTCGGCCGACTGATGATTCCTTTTACAAGACAACATTTACCCACCAGTCTATGAAGTTCATTTGTGCGTTGGTGCGGGGTGGCAGGCTATCTGCATGTCTGTTCCGCGAATACGTTTGGGTACATTCAACTGGGAATACATTCTTGCATGTGACTATAATAATTTCCTAATCACTCTTCAGGCCTCCGCGTCATACCTTTTGACGTTTAAACATGACACTTGTTGTTCCCCTTCCTGGTATTGAGGGGATACAAGGACTGATCGGCTTGAATTCAATATTTTGTGTCTGAGTTGAGTTTCAATGTTAAAACTGCGGCATAGTATTGCAGTGGGCAAACACTATTAAACCAGCATTGGTCCATACAACAAGCAGCCGCACGCACGCACGCACGCACGCACGCACGCACATTCATTCGCAATTTCTGGTTTTATCCTGAAGTATATGAATTGAAGACGTCTTGGGTCAAATTGTTGATATTAATTATACACAGATGGGACATTTATATAAATAAAAGCGGCAAAACCCTTTTCATTTCAGGGCTAGAAATAGTCATTTCTCTGCCATTACCATAGAGGAACAAATCATTGGCATGATGAGATACACGAAAATAGATCGATCTCTGAATGAATGAATGAATGAATGAATGGATGAATGAATGAATGAATGAATGAATGAATGAATGAATGAATGAATGAATGAATGAATGAATCGTTGGTTGTCGGTGCTTGGTTGGTTGGTAGGTTTTAATTAGTGAGTTCCTGAAACACGACAAACGACTTGGTTATTGAGGACGTGTTTCGCTATCATTTGAGTCGTGCATTGATGATGGAAGCAGGCACACCACAGTGATTCACACACCCTTTAAAGCAAGTCAGTATTCCCGTATCAGTCACACAGTCACGAACGAGCTGTCTAGTTCAATGCAGTCACGTGAGACGTGTCATACCGGGTACCAGTGGAGGAAGGGTTGCATTGGTGCACATCCCTACTTTGTACTTAACATTCATACAAATCAGGTTTGGTGATCGGGTACACTTAATGTATTACAACTTCATAACTGATCATTGGGTGATATGTGTGACACTAATAACACCACTATCAAACCCAAATATAATGGCTTTCGCGGTCGATTTGTATTCCTCTAACACTTGTGTGTGTTTTTGTGATCCCCAAATGCTCCCTCCTTTTACTTTAGCCGCGCTAGAGTGTGTGCAGTGCTTGATAGGCCATTGTCGATAAAGGGTGGACACGTGGAGATACAGGTCAAGTTTTATTGGCCAGTAAATTAGCAGTCATTCGGTCCCACGACTTCCGATGTCATGTATAAGGGGTGGGTGGTGGTGGTGGTGGTGGTTGTGGTGGATGGGGTTATATGGACTTTATTACTTATACGGGCGAGTAAACATTTATTTACGTTTTCGTAAACGTGTACGGGCTTATTGACACAAGAAACAAAAGCGGACAGGAAATATCCACACAAAAATATATTTGAAGCCAAACCATTTTCTAAATTATATCTTTTGACTCCAGTCAACAGACCTTTGCGTCCACTTAAAACTGGTAAATCAGTCTAAAAAGTCACCCCAAAAGCCTAATTTGACTTAATATTTGTATTCATCGTATTAAGGATATTAGTGTTCAATCACGGTGTATACAGAAGGATAACCATAGACCTAGTTCAGGTATCTTTTTTCTTGTGATGCGAATCGATTAGTCAGGAGTCTGTATTCTCTTATTTGATCAGGCAAGCGTTTAAACTATCGTGGTTGTACAGGAGCTTATGTTATAGTTTGGGTGTTTATCACTTTCAAATAGAGATGCTGCCAGGTATTCGCTAGAAGGTGAACACATGTTACAAGTCAAAATAGAGACTTGAGTTGGACATACGTCTAGCGACAAATTTGGTAATTTTGAAAGCTTTACCGTGGCCTTGCATGTTGTAATCTCCATCAAGGAAGAGTTGTATGACACCCTTTGAAATCTTTGAAAACGCAAAAAATGTGAAATGTAGGAGCTGCAGGAATATTGGTCGACATAAAGTGACAGTTGACTATTGAAAAGTTGAAGTCATCCCTCTTGTCCATTATCTCTAGTTCAGGTGTGTGGAAGGGAATTAGCTATTTGATGGTTATTGAACGATATCAGATCATACATAATCCTGAAGCTTAAGTTAAACTTCTTGGCCAAATTACCTTGTTTTGACTTTGTCAATCAGAGCAGAATTTCGTATTTATATGCATAAAGAAATAGATAAGCAAGAAGTGGAGCGCAATAGGTGCCCATGGTTATGCATACCTCTTGCCTAAATGTCTTACCCCTAAATGAAGTTATCAATGAGGAAGTCTAGCATTTCACATATTGTTTTCTCAGTAAACTTCAGATGGCATTTGCTTTCATATTTTACAAATTGCCCCAAACCGCTGAATATTGACAGGTAACTGTATCTGTGGTCAACATGTTTTGTAACAAAAGCCCAATGGATCAAAGAATGACATTTTTCCTAAAATGTGTCATGTGAAATAGTGGTGTACAAAGTTGAAAAATAAAATATTTTAACAGAATTGAAGCTGTTCTTTCCTGTCATTGTAAAACGTTAAGCAAATCTGTTTTGTTTTTGCGAATCTACATGCTATTAATTCAACATGTCTCAAATACATTCTGTGAATATAAAGAAGTAATCAGGTCTGGACCAGGCAAACCAGTGATTGAAGGTAGGCGCTCATTTAATGAGAAAATCATTCTTTGATAAGGCAGAGTATATCAATATTTCCATCAGTGCACATGCTCGTTTCTTGCACGTGATATTCGTGTCACATTGAAGGGCACGGGTGGCCCAGTCGTCTAAGGCGCCGCGATTCGCTGTGCAGAGTTGCATCCCTTGGGCACGTCTGAAACCTATGATTGTGGGTTCGAATCCCGGTTTGCCCCGATTATGTTTCTAGGTTTGTCAGCACCTACCCGTGCTCATGGGTTTCACCGAAGTGGTAAACGTCGGAGACCTGCATCACTTCGGGCTTTCCTCCCACATTAAGCTGACACGCCGCGATTTAACTGGAATACTGTTAAAAGCGGCGTTAAACCCAACTCTCTCTCTCTCTCTCTCTCTCTCTCTCTCTCTCTCTCTCTCTCTCTCTCTCTCTCTCTCTCTCTCGTGTCACATTGAGACCGATCTAAGCGTTAAAGTGACTCTCGTAACGTTACACGTATATAAATCGATGGCAATACTTTAATGTCACGATAATGTCTACCACATCACCGAGCATGACATGTTATATAAAAGTAACTATCGGTTCGTGAATTAGAATGGCCGTCGTGCCAACTATTTTCTCAAACTTAAAATAGATTCATACTTCTAGACACATTATAGAACATCTAAAACATTATATTGTGGTAAATATGTGATATGTGAGCTAGAACGCTTTGTGGTCTGTATTTATACTGTAAATTGCTCTAACATGGGGAACGTGGATTAAAATCTCTGCTGTTTATGAAAGTGAACCAAGCCCCTTCTCGAGTTTATCTTAAAGGAGTAATGTATCAATTGCATGCACGTTTGGACAACATGATGAGTGAGTATAGATTTACGCCGCTTTTAGCAATATTCCAGCAATATCACGGCGGGGGACATCAGAAATGGGCTTCACACTTTGTACTCATGTCGGGAATCGAACCCGGGTCTTCGGCGTGACGAGCGAACGCTTTAACCACTAGGCTACCCAACCGCTTCTCAACATGATGATGGAGATTAGAGAACTTATAGCACTCTGAACAAGGCCACACATGCTTGTTCTCCTGTGTTTAATCACATCAAAGGTGTATCTAATTACTCTATTAAAGATGTTGCGTCAAATGAAGTAAATTAGGAGGGCGTAAGACATGAAGAGGAGGACATATTGTTGGACTCCTTATGACATGGATAGGAGGACGTATTGTTGGACTCCTTAAAACATGAATAGGAGGGCGTATTACTGGACTCCTTATGACATGAAGAGGAGGGCGTATTGTTGGACTCCTTATGACATGAATAGGAGGACGTATATTTGGACTCCTTATGACATGAATAGGAGGACGTATTGTTGGACTCCTTATGACATGAGTAGGAGGGTGTATTGTTGGACTCCATAAGACATGGATAGGAGGGCATATTGTTGGACTCCTTAAGACATGAAGAGGAGGGCGTATTGTTGGACTCCTTAAAACATGAATAGGAGGGCGTATTACTGGGCTCCTTAAGACATGAAGAGGAGGGCGTATTGTTGGACTCCTTAAAACATGAATAGGAGGGCGTATTACTGGGCACCTTAAGACATGCATAGGAGGCGTTTTGTTGGACTCCTTAAAACATGAATAGGAGGGCGTATTACTGGGCTCCTTAAGACATGCATAGGAGGCGTATTGTTGGACTCCTTAAAACAAGAAAAGGAGGGCGTATTACTGGGCTCCTTAAGACATGCATAGGAGGCGTTTTGTTGGACTCCTTAAAACATGAATAGGACGACGCATTACTGGGCTCCTTAAGACATGCATAGGAGGCGTTTTGTTGGACTCCTTAAAACATGAATAGGAGGGCGTATTACTGGGCTCCTTAAGACATGCATAGGAGGCGTATTGTTGGACTCATTAAGACAGTGTACGAGGGTATATTAGCGTATTGCGAATGGTGTTAAATTGGAAGTACACGAACACTGAATATGCGTACGCAAGATGTTCTACTTTGCTGATGCTAGCTTTCATTGGCATAAACATATTCAGCCACACCTGTTACACATACATCTATTTAGATATATACTTATGAGGCAGCAGGCTCGCCACCATTCCAGCTCTTCTCGCTGAGTGTTGCGTGCGAAACACTGGAGCCTGTCAACATCAAAGGTATTCTCTTGTTTCGGTTGAGGTATCAATGAACATCAATATTTAGATATGGTTTGCTTTATTTGAATCCTTTGATCACAGGGAAGAAGATTATCACAATTATATGTTCGAGTGCAGCTCCATACTTTGATACCAAGTACTTGTATCGTATAGGTGCTAGATCGCAGACGTTACCATTGGGTGAAATACACGGTTATGAGACACACAAAAAATACATTATCTGGACAAGGTTTGAACCCATATCCTTCGGATCCTGTCACAATACATTCACGTAACTCCTCACACCGGACCAAGCTTCTATTTCTTGACCGTCCCCCTTCTTAAACTTCAATCTAATCTGTAACTTGATGAATGTTTGGTTCTTTCATTGGACTGTTTGGACTGTTCATATAGGATCCACAATGGCTGGGACACCCACTATTTTCCATGGCTCGTTTGTACACTCAACGAAAGAAAAGGATATGGTTACTCACAACGACATGGTTATTGGAGTTGAGAGGGGCAAGGTAGGTTAATTTAAAACTAAAACGAATGTGTTATGTCTAATCTTGGAACAAACAATCTTAAAGTTTATCCTGTACAATCATGGAATAAGGGAACATTTCAATATTGAACAAGAAAAATCTTGATTTTTTTTTCGCCTCAATATATGCCTTGTAAGTGACTGCTAGTCTACCCTTAAAATAACGACAATCAATGCCAACACCGGCAATCCCGGACAACCACGAGCGTTAAGAAATACTGCAACTCGTTAGGTGGCACCTGACACGCTAATCAGACAGGACACACATTCACAAGCCGATACCCTGTTGACGGAGAGTTAATATCAAGCCAACCACGTCCATGTTGGCAGTCCACAACAATGTCCATCTCAAATTGCAGAGAGCAAGCATGCAACTCATTAACGGGCATAAGATACGATAGACAAGGAGCTGAAAAGAACCTATCCATGCCTAGCTAAGAATAAGGATTTTCCATGATTGTACAGAAAGTAATAAGATTTTGTTTTCCCCAAGATTGTACGTAACAAATGCACAGTGAAAGTATACGGTGACTTAGTAGTCAGTACTAACACACCCATGACAGTTTAAAAGTTAGAAAAATGTTTAGAACCCTGCATTCTGATTTGTCCGCCTGTGGTATCGAGTCTCCAGCGAAAGTAAATATTTATTTAGAGACACACGTTTAAACTTCCCCGAAAGGCCATTTCAAATGCTGAAATTGCCCAATATAAATGGTTAAACAAAGTTTTTCGGTTCCTAAATTATTTAAAACATCTATGTGATGTTCAGTTTGAAAATCCACCAATGGCGCATCACTGATCACTTCCGCTAATACCAAACAGGTAACCTTAGGCATGTCATGATAACCAAAATGGATACAATTTCATAAAACAAACCGGAAGTTATTGGGCGAAGTGCTTGACTACGTAACTTGACAATGTCCATATTGTGCCGAACGATGGACCAGTATCAATCACGTTGCCATGTGACGTCATAGCTAATCTGCATACTGGAGTAACCACACATGGCGTCTGACTGCATTTGTTGACTCCTGTGATTGACCAAGCGCCTCGCGAGTCAAATGAACTGATAGATGATATACATGTACTTAAAACAAAACATTAGAGACTCAGATGAGTAAAATACTAGCAAAGAACAATGAAGAACGAAACTCTTTTTCGCGATAAAACATTGTTCTATCATGACGTCATTTCTGGAGATTCGAAAATGCGCTCGCAACACGGTAACGTCGTATACCGGACGACGTTCTTTTTGACAGGTAAGTGTCAAGTACATTGTTCCCAATAGATGTAGCTGGGCTACGCAGTTAAAGGCAGTGGCGAAACGATCGCATCCAAAAGTAGGAATCATAATTATGACAATCGGTATTAGGAGAAAGTACAGATAATCAATTGTGAGAATATGCGGGTCATACCAAACGTAACCCACCTGTTCATAAATTGGACTTGTCCGACACTTCCGAGACCGGGTTGTATTCAGGAAGTCTTCATTATTACAATTTGGGTAAATAATTTTAAAGGTTGTACATTTTATCAACGTCCTTAAAGAGGCTGTACATACTGTTGATATGTCACATGAGAAATAAACGACTCATATAAGAAATAAACATTGCAGGGAGAATAACAACTCGTAACTGCGCCCCCCGTCAGTATTCTCCCTGCAGTGTTTTACTGTACGATAAACAACCCCTTCTCGTCGTTTATTTCTTAAATAGTCAGGGGCGGTCGGGTAGCCTAGTGGTTAAAGCGTTCGCTCGTCACGCCGAAGACCCGGGTTCGATTCCCGACATGGGTACAATGTGTGAAGCCCATTTCTGGTGTCACCCGCCGTGATATTGCTGGAATATTGCTAAAAGCGGCGTAAAACAATACTCACTGACTCACTTAAATAGTCAGATGCAACTTCTCCGTTATGGACAGGTGATATCCTTTCAGGCATTCGACACGATTGTATTCTTTTGGGAGAGGGCTTACCTAAGTCGTGAAAACTTGTGCCCATTCCTTTTCCTTGTGATTAAAATATGTTTAAATCAATTCCACGCGAGACATTGGTGGTGGTGAGTTGGGTTTAACGCCGATTTTAACAGTATTCCAGTTATATCACGGCGTGTCAAACCTAGAAACGTAATCGGGGCGAACCGGGATTCGAACCCACAATCATAGTTTTCTGGCGTGTCCAAGGGACGCAACTCTGCACAGCGAATCGCGGCGCCAGAGACCACTGGGCCACCCGTGCCCCCTGCGAGACAGTGAGTTCAGTGTAGCACAAGTACTAGTCTGGCAATACAATCCGTCTCCTGTGGTTGCTTTTTGCGTTCTCAAAATGTAAGTTAGGGATAGGTTGGTTTTGGTGCTAACAAGCGCTGGTCCTGTGTTTGTCAGCAACGTACCCGTCCTCAAGGGACCTACATTACTCTGGTGTTTCGTCCCAAATTAATCTCACACCTTGTGAAAACAGAAATACTGTGTAATCCCGTTTTATTTATCCTTTCATTGTCATTTCTCATTGTAGGCTTTGATAAACTGAGACCAACAGTTGATATAATTTTGTATTATTGGAAGTCTAATGAAAGTTCCAAGTACACATATTTCAAAACTAATTGCAGCAATATCTTGCTGTATGCCATACCGTTTTCTACAACAGCTGGTGATACCTGTAGAGATGAACACTCTCGCAAGTGTGTCATATTGTTCTACGAACCGAGTATCAGAAAAGCAATATTTCCCTAGAGGCGGGAATAATTTTGTTTGTCTCACAGGAGCCCGCTGAATAGTGAAACTTATCGCGCCTTCAAGCAGTATGCATACGGAAACAGTGCCCGCTGAATAGTGAAACTTATCGCGCCTTCAAGCAGTATGCATACGGAAACAGTGCCCGCTGAATAGTGAAACTTATCGCGCCTTCAAGCAGTATGCATACGGAAACAGTGCCCGCTGAATAGTGAAACTTATCGCGCCTTCAAGCAGTATGCATACGAAAAACAGTGCCCCCGAAAAAGGCGTCTTTCGTCAGTATTTGAATATGACTGACACAAACGTCACTTGAAAATGCATTTTATTTATATAAATTATGAGTAACTCAAATATATAAACATCATTTGATGTAGAACATTCCCGTCAGACGGAATTTTGAACATTCAAAACACGAGGTCAGGTGAAGGCCAGCAGGAGCACTAGCCATAAGATATTGCACAAAACAAGAGTGAGTGAGTATGGTTTTACGCCGCTTTTAGCAATATTCCAGCAATATGACGGCGGGGGACACAAGAAATGGGCTTCACACATTGTACCCATGTCAGGAATCGAACCCGGGTCTTCGGCGTGACGAGCGAACGCTTTAACCACTAGGCTACCCGACCGCCCCTCCTGAAACAAGAACTATTGGAACAAGAACATGGAACTATGGCAATTCGTACATGTGGACTGACTATTCATCGTCAAACGGGAAAGTTTGCAGTGTGTCTACCTTTAAGGACTGGCTCCCTGTCAAATGAAACAGAAGGATTCGTTAAATTCCCATCATAGATATGGAAGACCCCACCGTATATAGAGCTGCAAAATATTGTGTGAACAAAATCATACGACACGGCTGTGCTTGTGTTGGTGAGAGATGTAAGATGTGCGCTACTTTGGGATGTAGCTTCGGGGACAAGCTCTGCTGTCGACGTTGACGCTGACTGCACTGTCGACGTTGACGCTGACTGCACAGTGGATCGACGGTAGTGACAAATTTGCCTTGACATATTCTCGGATGAAGAGACCAGACTGCCTCATGCCCTGCGTGAGTAATGCGAGAATAATTGTTCACGCTCTGAACAATTTCACTCCCCGACAGCTGTATAATATGCGTTGGTGCAATGTTGTTGTTTTGCAACGTTTGTATCAGGTGTTTTCGATCGTCTGTGGATCGTCAGTCGTTTTTCTGTGATGTTGGCTCCGAAAGTCATGTTTTTCATTACACTCCTGAATTTGATTGTTTTCTTTGGTTTTCTCGATCTTAAACCAGATGTGATAAGGAGGGGCATACATTTGACAAAACAGAAGGTAATGTCTGCATGGGGATTTTAACATGGCAACTGGACACACTGGCGGATTTTCAGCATTTGCCAAAGCAAGATAGGGAGATTCCGTGCATTACGAGGGTAGGATCAATTCACATCTCCAGATACTCTGTCCAGTCAGTGTCAGTTTTAATACTGATGTTCCCAAAAGACAAATATATGCGTGGTGTGCATGACAGCATTCCAAAATAGACCATATTATTATAGCCACCAGAGAGTTGTGGATTCTGGAATACTATTGCTCAACTACCCCGATCAGCACACCCTTGACATCTCACTTTAATTGTCCGTGTTTTGACATCAGAATAGCTTTTATTTGCTCGAAACATGAAGTCAGTTGAGAGTGATTTACCATAAAAAAGCTGCTTTATTGGCCTATCAAAACTAGCAAGTATTCCACGTACTTTAGTAGGTTGATATTCGTCACCATTGCATTTTCGGGCACCCATTAAGCATTTTGTTTATTGGCAGCCGTCGTGTGACAGGAGTACCGGTATGCGGCGTCAGGCAACAAACAAAAACTATTGTACGCATATTGTTTGAGTGGCGGGTACTATGGGTAGGGCAGGACATGCTTGTTATTTTCTACCCGTGAATTTCAGGGCTAGAATGGGTCTTCAGGAAACAATCCTTGCCGAAAGAGCCGAGTATGCTCGTAAGAGGCGACTAACGGGATCGAGTGGTCAGGCTCACTGACTTGATTGATGTCATTGTATCTCAATTGCGTAGATCGATGCTCATGATGTCAGTTAACTGGATTGTCTGGTCCTGACTCGAGTACTTACAGACTGCCGTCATACAGCTGGACTATTGTCGAGTGCGGCGTACGAACAAACAAAACAAAATATATACTTTTCCGAATACAGTGTGTCATCACTGATCTTCAGTGATCCAATCATATACTCTTCAAAAAAAAGAAACGCAATACGGATAGTTTTGGCCATTTGGCAGGGGAATCCCGATCAGCTGTAGCCAGGGTTTTCAATGGCGCCCAGCACCATCACAAGGCTATGGGATCGGTTTCAACAGCATGGGTCAACACGTGATCGGCCATGGTCGGGACGGCCAAGAGTAACCATCCCCGCCCAAGATCGCTACATCCGACTGCGCCAACTACGGGAAGGGTTACCACATCAACCGCATCCCAAATACTCGAACTGCGCAGAATCACCGACCAGACCGTACGAAACCGACTGCATTAGTGTCGTCAACACAGAGTATGGCCTCAACTGCGATGGAGAGATGTCTGGTTCAGCGACGAATGTAGATTTCTCCTCCGTCGAGGGGATGGAAGAGCACGGGTTTTCAGACTCGGGGGGAACGTTATGCCGGAAACTGCGCATTATGATGTGGGTGGCTATCTCTCATCATGGCAGGTCAGGTTTGGTCCATATCCAAGGCAATCTTACGGCTCAACGATTTATCAACGAAATTTACCTACCACACGTCCTCCCAACTGCAGCCAACGGCAACGGTGTATTCCAACAGGATAACGCTCGACCGCATACAGCACGGATCACAAGAGCCTGTCTACACAACAACGACGTTGATGTTCTCCTCTGGTCCTCCAGATCCCCGGATTTGAACCCGGTAAAGCACCTGTGGGATGAATTGGATAAACAAACCATGAAGTTACAGCAGTTGGCTTTAGCGTTGCAGTCAGAGTGGGCTACCATTCCCCAGGATGTGATTCACATACTCGTCTCTTCAATGGGCAGAATATGTCAGGCCGCTATCGATTCCATCGGGGGACATACGCTTTATAGGTTGTAGCTGAATAACTAAATTTATGTTTACATAAAGCTCGTACAAATGATTCCGGTCGGGATATGAAATTTGAACGATATTACCTACGCTGGGTGTATAAATGATTACATGAACATTTCACGCAAAATGTTAACATCGACTGGAACTACATTCAGCATGCATTCCATAACATCCCTACGTAATTACAATATTATAAATGTCTGAAGTTAATTGATTTGCGGTCGTGACTTTGCACAGCTTGGCAAGCAAGCTGCTACTGCCGTGCTGATGAGTCAAGCTCGCGTCAGGATTATTCCTCGAACACGCTAGTTTGAAATAACATAGGAAGGCTCACGACTTTATAATAAGCAAATTAAAGAAAAGTCATGATTGTGGATGATTGTCGCCGACGTTAGTTCTCATCACATGACGGGTTCAATCACTGCAGATCAGCCACCGGTGCAAGCATACATGCCATGTGTGGTGTCATGCGGCCCCGCATAAAACGCAGTGGTCATGATCACAATCCAGGAGACATACAGAAACGTTGGCCATGAGTGACCTTTATGGCAGCTTTATTCCTACAAGTTTCCATGTCTTCTGTCTGCCCCACACCGAAGCTCATATTGCGTGTTCAGATATTTGAAATTTTCAGAAATAGAAAACCCATTCAGTCATTCATAGTTTAATCTCTTCACATCTGCTTTATCTATTCGATCAAATGATTGTGAGTAGGTCAGTATTAATCTATTTTTTTTATTGTGTATAATTTTGATTTTACATCTTCCTAGACCTTAAAGATAACGTTTTCTATGAAAAGTTTATCTAATTGATCTTATATGTATGTATCTATACGGCCCAGTCATCTTAGGCGCCGCAATTTGCATGCGTCTCTTTGTCGTGCCAGAATCCTATAGTCGTGGGTACGAATTACGATTTGCCCAGAATAACTCGAACTGTTGTGGAAGCATTTAAGTATAAGACACCAAGATGATTGTTCCAAAGTTTCTCACATATTTTACCTGTTCTGGCCTAACAGAAATGCTAAATTTCAAATTAAGATGAAAGCTTTGCAAAATGTCAACTGTCCTGAAAACACTGAAAGAGTTCATATGTGTGAGAGCTAGCATTGCGTTCTTTACAACACAACCACGTAATAATTCTTGTTAGAACCAAGTCGGAGGGCTAAAACGGTTGACATTGACAGTTTAAGAGGGTTTAGGAGGGTAACGTTTGCTTTACAATATGATTGAGGCCCTGGCCAAAGGTGTTATTTTAAGACATGAAGATGACATCAGGTAGTCCGTGCACAATTTTACTTTGAGCCATAGTTGTATTTTAGCCATGACGCTGAAACACTCAATTTGAATTTGTTGAACCGCAAAATGAGTGCATGAGTGAGTGAATTGAGGTACGCCCAACGTGACGCGGGTCTTAGACGATTATGTCTTGTGAAACTCAGGAACATGTGTCTGGCAAACCTAGAAACCAAATCTTGTTCGCACTCAAGACCTAAGGTTTTCCGTGACGCAGTAGAATTGCGGTGCCTGAGACGACTGGGCCACGCGATCGCTGGAACATTAAAGAGACATTGCTGTTTGTTACCAATTTGAACGCTTGGATTACATTTAATAACATTTGTGTCTTCTAATACGTCAACGTCAGAAAAGGTCCATATTATATCTTGCTCTTTTATGCTTCTTACTACTGGTAACATGAACAATGTGTCTGAACACCTCGTCTTGGTACAACAGGCGTGTCATGTGCAACGGAAGAGTCCATTTCCATTGAACAGGGGACAACGGTTGAGTGTGACGTGGTGCAGGTTCATGCTTTGTCAATGCGCCATGTAAACTCTACACATTCATTGAAGCTGATCACATCACTCTACTGATTGTAAACTACCATCTGTCTTCGCCGCTTCAATATTGAACATAGATTGGTTTACCCCACGGGAATCAATAGACGTTGCAAACCGTAATTACAATGTGGGAAAACCATGTCATTGTTAAAGCTTTGTTATGCAAATAAAGCTTCTTCAATTCGTTTTTAGATAGCTTGACTCAAAGCCCATTGAGCCAATGTTGAGACCTGTTTGTACGTTGTCCGTTGTCCGTTGTCCGTCGTTAACATGTCCTCAGAAACCACAGGGCCAATAAAACTGAAACTTAACCACCAATGCATTTCCTTCTCTGAAATTGCCAGACCGAGGAAGCTGATAACTCTGCCATGTCTGCTTGACATAATGATGACATAATAATATCATCAGGATGAAACTGCTTTTTTGTGTGAAACAATTGGAAACATTCCCAGCATTAGAAACATTCTTCTCCTTAGAAGGTTTTCAGGACTCAGTGTGAAGTAAATATAACTGTGTTGTGTTGTAACAATGCTCTACAATAGCACATTCATTCGTACACAATTTAGATATTTCACATTTGTTAATACTTTTGTCCTCAGTATTGACACTGGAAATATGTGAGTGAAATGGTGACAGCAACGTGTTTTAAGTGTCTCTCTCTGATCACATTTAAAACTGTTGAAACTACATGTCCACTATTGATGTATTCGTTGAAGTGGCAGGCTTGTGGAACAAGGTATGGGCGAAACATGCGTATGTTGATGTATCCTCTAATGTCTCTAATTCAGATAATTTTCATCGAACATGAAACACGCCTTCCCGATTTGATGAGCGAATACAGCGTGCCTCGTGACAAAGTCAGACATCTGGAAAAATGGTCAGTAAAATCAAATACGTTCCTGTAAAATGAGAAATATCGGTGATCAAACATTGTTTTATAATATGTACGGAGGGATGTAAGCAGCTTTATGCCTCTTTTGATGACGTCAGAGATGTTTCATGGTAGACTGTCCCAGATAAATTTTACACATGACAAGTATTGGACAAACATATATATGGAGGACTTATATGTAGGTCTTATGACTTATATTAAACATAGTTGGAGCTTCAATGTTGAAAGAATTAACTGTAAGAATAATTTTAACTGTAGTATTAAAACAACCCTTCCTCTGTGTGTGTGTGTGTGTGTGTGTGTGTGTGTGAGTGTGTGTTTCTGTGTGTGTGTGTGTCTGTGTGTGTGTGTGTATGTGTGTGTGTGTGTAGGATATGTCTACCCTTTACATCATATACGAATATATTACAATGTATGTTCTTTCATTGGGGCATTATGCGATAATTATATGATAATTTAGAATGTATGATGCCATGAATTAAGTAAGCTGTTTTCTGTTTCGTATTGATTTGTTTGTTCTTTGCGACACAGTCAGCATTATTCCACCTATATCATGGCGGGTCTTTCGAGTCTTTCAATTGGAAGAGGATAACGCGGAATCAACCAAGTCACCGAGATTGACGAGCCTTGAGATAAGCATTTAAAAAGGTTACTGGTAGCCATATTCTATTTCTTAATCCGCACGGGATCTGATTTATAAATCGCAGGCAGTTTCTGATGCCTGGTTTGGTGGACACCCACATCCATGCTCCTCAGTATGCGTTTGCTGGCTCCAAAATGGATCTGCAGCTGTACGACTGGCTCAGCACCTACACATTCCCAACTGAAGCAAAGTTTAAGGATCTGAAATACGCCATGGATGTCTACAGCAAGGTGGTGGTAAGTCTCAACAATGGTACTGAGTTTTAACGTAAATAATTTCAATATTGACGTCGACGTTGTTTATTCTGCATATTGTTTGTAACACCGTTGTCATTGATTGTGTGTCAGATCGTTAGACAATAAAGTCTGTTCTGCAGATAGAAACGTCATTACTGCAGATTATTACGTCAATACGGTAGGGATGTACGCTCATGCTGTACTTTAACGTCAATGCGTTAGATTTTAACGTCGGTTCTGCACATTGTTATTACTGTAGTGCTGTAGGTTTTAACGTCAATGACGGAGTTCCAAACGTAGTTGCATTGCTGACATCGATCAGCCTTCTCATTGTAATTGTAGCGGCTGGGTAGCACAGTGGATAATGCAGTCGCTAGTCACACTAGTCGAGCCATGTTCGATTCCCAAAAAATGGTACTATTTAGGAAATCTGTTTGTGGCGTCCATCGGTAAATTTTAGCTGAAATGTTTTCTCAAAGCCGTATGATCCCTGTTCATACATGTACTCACAGTCACTCACGCAGTCACTCGTTTCTCTTAACATCAATCACTGTATCTTTCTGGTCCAAGGTCGATTATTTACAGACCGCCGTGATAAGCTGGACTACGAAGTCGTGTTGTTCATTAGGCTATGGTCTCGAAGCTAACATCGCAATAGTACGAATTGTGAGAAGAAGTTTAAGTATGCAATGAGAGTAATGTATAGGCATGCGTAGCTTCTGAGGTTAATGAAATGTCCAGTTGCCGATTTACTAAACACTACTTGGCTTGCCCACCGCTTTTAGTTAATAAACTTTTTACACTTGTCACCTTTACACTTTGGTGGGTATTATTAAAGAAATAAATGACTGCGGTTTATTCTCCCTGCAGTGTTTTATTGCACGATAAACAGCTCCTACTCGTGTATTTCTTGTATGAGATATCAACCTCATGTGCAGCCTCTTTGATGTTAATAAAATGTACAAGCTTAAAAGATATGTTACAGTACCTTTTTTAAATAATGAGGACTCCCTGAGTACAATCCGACTTCGGCATTGTCGGGCAAGTCCGTTTTATGAATACGTGGTTGAAGTTTCGTATTTTCCGGATATTCTCATAATTTTCACGTCGATTATCTGTACCTTGTCTCCAAATACGTATTGTCAAATCCCTCCCATTGGTTTGGATGAGATCGTTCGGCAATTGCGTTTATCTGTGTTGCCCAGCTACATCTATGGGAAACAACTCTCTGGACACTTCCCTCTTAAAAGTTACGTCGTCCAATGTACGACGTCATCAAGTTGCGAGCGCATGTTCGAATCTCAAGGAATGTCGTCATGATATACCAATGTTTCATACTGAATTAAACCACGCTTCGTTCTTCATGTATCTTTGCGATTTATCGCGTAGCTATCTTATATAGGTTTATGAACACGTCGCTTCCATTTTGTTCATTTTGTTGTCACAGAATATAAGTACCCATAAGGCACTGTTTTTTTTGTATGTACTGTACTATAATTTGTCTGTTGTTTAACGCATGGCCCAGCAACATTCAACCTGTATGAGGGCGGTCTGTAAATAATCAAATCTGAACCAGACAATTCAATGATTGACATCATGAGCATCGATCTACGTAAGTGGGATACGATCACATGCATCAACCAAGTCAGCGAGCCTCCCTCGATCCCGTTAGTCTCATCTTACAACAAGCATGGGTCGCTGAAGAGAAATTCTAACCCGAATCTTCTCATGTGAATATACAAGTTAAAATTCTTAAACCATCCTTTGAAGAAATATCATTGAAACATTCCAAACATTGAAGACATCTTAAAATCAGGTTTTTGAACATATTAATGACCAGTTATCATTTTCAATTACAAAAAAAGTGACGCTTTCTTATTCATTTTCACAGGATCGAACTCTGAAAAACGGAACAACGACTGCATGCTACTTTGCTACATTACACAGAGATGCGACAAACCTACTTTTTCAGATTATTGGTAAATGATGGTTCTTTCATTTTCATTTTCCATTTTGCTGTATTAAGCTATTAAAACATCAATTATAGTGTCCGTTACTGTTTCGTGAACCTTTCACAGAATTGCTGACTGAGAAAAAAATATGAACCACGTAATGTTTGCATTTACGACAGCCTTGGGCTGATGATATTTTTATTGTCATACTTCAAGGCCAAATTATCAGTAATCTAGGGTGACACAAGTGATCTGCTTTGCGAGTCATGCTTTACACGACAGTTAGTTATCGTTGTACATATATACAACTTGCGTACATTTACAAAGTAAAGACGTCAGACGGACGGTATCTCCCCTATGTTACGGCTTGTACCATACCTTCCCGTATGTGTGGACCTATGGATGACACATCCAAATTTCAAGTATCAGTGATCAAATTTAGGTTCGGTACAATTCTATTATTCCTGTGTCCGGGTGAACACTTTACAAGCTTTTGCAGGTGTTTTGTGGCGGGTGCATCCGGTATGGCAGGAAAGACTCATCTTTACCTGAACACCTGGTCGGGAAATCTTTTAATTACTATTTGATATTTTTCATAAACTCATGCTCCTGATTTAGTCGGAGCTGTACAATGAACTCTACTGTCAGCGATTTCGTACTGGTATGGAAAGGGTTCTCGCTTTTGTTCACAGAGAAAGCCGGTCAGAGGGCCTATGTTGGGAAGGTGAACATGGACTGCTGCTCGCCCACCTATTACAAGGAAACCATGGAAGAGTCATTGGAAGACACAAAGAAGTAAAACCGTTACCAACCTTAAAACAGTCAACTCCGTGTGTAATAAATACCCTAGTTCGCATTGTGCGGAGTTCGTATTTTTACTAAGAACTAGCTTGACATGATTCCCAATGAGGTTAGTTCTTTTCATAGATTTGGTTGGATAAAGATTTCAAATTGGTTTGATGCAGCCAACTATTCAATTTATCAGTCTTAATTAGTGTTTCATTGAAGTATGTTTATTGTACTGGCAAGTCCAGTCTCTGTACCTTTTACAGATTACTACCCCATTACATTAAACAAAATGTTGGGTTTATGCAGGGTTACAAAGTAAGAACAATTTGTATAGGTTTTGCTTGAATCACACAATCGTCAGATGTCTTTGAGTTGCTTTATTCAGCATATCCCATTCTTTCGATAATTCGGTGGTGATTCGGTGGCGATAATTAGTTTCATGTGACCGAGCAGATTGTGTGTCAGTTTACCATAAAAACGTATTGCACATGCTGTCAATTGCTGGTTTATGTGATCCAGACATTTTGGCGAGCATGGCCAAATAATGTGTCAGATGCGACCTGATCACTATGAGTGGGTGGTGCTAACAGTATGGCAGGCAAATATGCTTACCCTTTCCGAGAACACCTGGTGTCGTTATTGATTTTGTTCATATAATTTTAACGGCTTTGTTTCCTTTCACGCCCAGTGAAATCCTTTTCGGCGGAAAATCGAGACTGGTTATTCTCTGGCATTTACATTTTATATGTACTATTCACCACGACCATATATTGTTTTCAGATTTGTCGAATCAACTGTTTCCAAAAAGGTAAACGTGAAAGTTAATTACATTTTACTCAGTTCTTTCGACTTAAATTAGAACATACTTCAAGTGTTTGAAAGGCATTTAGAAGTGATACACATAAGGAAGAGAATTTATGGATGTCAACTTCTTTATAATGAGGAACACAACGTTTCGGAGTATATGCTGACTCCTTCATCAGGTGCTCATGAAGGAGTCAGCATATACTCCGAAACGTTGTGTTCCTCATAATAAAGAAGTTGACATCCACAATTTCTAATCCTCAGAACACACTTCTTTACATTTTATTTCCTCGGATTCGGACAAGACAAAACATGCCGCCGGCTCCACGAGAATCCCATGATGTACATGGCATAGTGGTACAAAACAACAGATCTGGAAATGCACGAGGTAGAACATAACACGATATATGCATACATGAGCAAGTTATTATATCTGTGTTAATAGGTGTGGACATCACCTAAACGGATGAAAAGAATATCAAATAATACTGGGACCGATCGATGACCTGCAAATAAAGGTTGTGGTGTGGTTGGAGGTGGGCTAACGATTGCACTTAAGAAATACACGAGACACGATTAATGGCTGACTGCAGAAAGCACATGGAGAGGTTGCGCATGCGCACAACTTATGGTTACCTGGTTAATACCAAAATATGGACTGATAAACGAACAGTGGTTGAACTGAATACGCATATTTACATAGTTAAAAACTCCCAAATACGGACTGATAAACGGACGATGATTATGATAGGACATTAAGTTAATTACGTTCTGTAATACAAATAAGGACGAATTAATAAACAGTGATTTGCAAGGTCGCTGTGTATTCCCATAGTTGTAACAAAAGTAGGACTATATGAAACGGAATGTGATCATGCCGTTGTGATGCGATGTAAGGATATGAAACCCAGGTTAGAGATACAAGTAGGTGATATAAGCATAGTGTGCTATATACATGAAGGGACCTTGTCCGACCAGAGCATACCATAAACTGTACTAAAATATTTAAGTACAAAAATGTTGAACATTTTTGATATTTATGAAAACAATGAACCTGTCGATTCTGTTGGCGTAATTTCAAAAATGCATCGATTTTAACATGCTGAATAAGTGTACACACTAATTCTACTGTGCACTACTCTTTGTCATTATGTTTCCAGAATCCCCTGGTTACTCCCATAATAACACCACGATTCACTGGGTCATGTTCAGAAGAACTTATTATGTCCCTTGGTCGACTAAACCAACAGTATCAACTACCGGTTCAGGTAAGTCAACTGTTCCAAAGGCATGGATTATCATAATCACATTCATTGTCGTTATTACTATCATTATTGAGGTGGTGGTGTAGCTTAGTGGTTAAAGAATTCGCATTTTACGCAGAAGACCCGGATTCGATTACGAAATTCGGTACATTGTGTAAAGCACATTTCTTATGTCCCCCACCGTGATATTGCTGAAATATTGCTTAGCGCGGCGTAAAACTATACTCACGCACTCAGTATGATTATTATAGAAATGATATGCGATAGATTATGCTTATTTTAATTATTATACATTATCGCGGATTTGACCACAATAACAAAGTTTCATTACCTGCATAAGCTGATGAAACTGACGTGCTGTGATGTAAGCCAAATACTGGGAAATATTGCAGTAAATATTGTGTCATTTCAAAAATAAAAACCTGCAGATAATGTGCTTTACTGCCCCATACTGAGTCTCACATGAGATACTGCTTTTTGAAGATCATGTGATATCTCCCACAAGATACTGTTTATCACCTGTTAATCATACAATAAACTTATCACTGATCACTATCTGGGGTCGTTAGACAC